AATCATATTCTGCTTCAAATCAATTTATGAATGAAAATGAAAAAATACTCTTCAAGAAAAAATATATCATTGATCTAATCAATGTTGCGTAACAATGGAATTAGTTCATCCTTAATTTTTAAATACATTGATTGCAAACAGTAACATAATACGTAATTATTTTAATCTTCATTAACTATGTAAGGAGTACGTTAACTATTATAATAAATTTAGTAAAACATTATTTACATAAAAAGAGATTTTTTAATTTTTCAAGCTTTTAAATTTTTTAGCATTTTTCACATTTTTTCTCCATTTCAATTTCTTGCTATTACGAATTTTTCTTTAGATGGTATGCTTTTCTTTCATTTAATCTTCATCGATTGTTTTTAATCGAACAAGAGTTTAGGAGAAAAAAAAAAGATTTTAAAACTTCCAAACAATGTTTCGGAACTGTTTCCGCTACTCGAAAACTAATGGATTTTTGTCTCCTTCTGGTAATGAGGATGTCCTTAGGAATAAATCACGTGACATCGGTGGGGAAGGGCGCCTCAGTTTCAAAATAAATTCCACAGTCTTTAATTGACCCAGGGTGCTGAACATAGTACACTTTTCAGTGATTAGAATAGTTAAGAAGTTGCATAACATCCTGCCTTAACTATCACTTTAAAAGTCGTTTAGTGATAGTCATGAAGATTTTGTCATAAAAATCAAATGGTTATTTAACAAAGAGAATACGAAACTTCGTTAAATTATATTATCTGTACATGGACTTGCACCATTTGGAAAAAGGACGATGCTTCGAAAAAAAAATATTTTTATATAATAAAAAAAGAACACCTTAAAATGCTAATGTATCAATAGTAAAATGCTTCTTTTCTTAAATATGCAAACAAAACTTAAAATAACCAACGAGAAACATGCAAATAAACGAACTTGATAAATCATGTTTTTTTAGAGATAGAAATAAAAGAGCAATGGAAACAACTTAAGGAAGAACTCTTTAAATAAATAATAAAATTTCTTTTTCCTTCCTTTTTTTAAAAAAAAAAGAAACAAGTAACACCTTTATGTAAATAAGAGGTATCAGATGATAGCTAATCTCTTCGCGCATACGTCTGCCACGCAGTGGCCTGTGTTGTCATAAGGCGGCGGCGCTATGATCGCATTTGTGTAGGGGTACCTCATTTGCTCGCCAAAAGCTTGTAGCATAAAGATGTTTTGAAGTATCGTAACTTAGTGCAAGCCTTGTAATCTTAATCCTCGCAGTTTCGAGAAATGTGGTGTCCACACTATGGTTTCACAAACAGTTCACAAACACAGGAACATTCATTCCACAGATAACAGTTGCCCAGAGACTTACTGCTGGGCAAACATTCTGTAGTCCTTTGACTGTGACCGTCATAGCATTACCTGTTTTTGACAGAGAAAGATCTGGGGTGGATAATCTTCAGTGATGATTCGCGGTTCAGTCTGGATAACGACTTGAGACGTGTTCTCATCTAAAGGGAATCCGGGAATCGATATCGGTCCTCTAACATTGTCAAAAAGGACCACTAGGGTCAAGGGGGTCTAACGACCTGGACTGCCGTCATGGCAGACGGGCGTAGCGACCTTCGTGCGTGCAATGCAGGTTCAGGTCAGCGATACAGTGATGAGATCCTCGTATGCAATGCGAAACATTTCCGTGGGGCATATGGACCCAATTTCATCTTTTTAGACGATAACGCCCATCCACTCAGGGATCAGTTGGTGAACTTCCAATAGAAGGATATTACACGATTGGAGTGGCCTGCGATGCCCCCTGACCTTAATCACATCGATCACGTATCGCACGTCCTTAGGCTTTCAATTGCAACTCGAACTTGCTGCTCCAATGATCATCGATGAGCTGAAGGATGCAAGAGTGAGAATGAAGTTGCCTTAAGGTAAACAGTATACTGTTAGAGGCGATTATACACTTTAATTGACTTGTATTTCTCAGACTGACACTTGGTCAGCTGTACAAGTGATCAGTTTCTTTATTTAGGGTACAGATTGAACCCATTTGTCCACATTTTAGTCCTACATCGGATGATATTTTGGGAAGGTTTGGTTTTATCTCCTCTGTTAGTTTTTTATAAACCATTTGACCCTTTCAATGTTTTTACCTGTGTAGTTCACATGAAAAAAGGAAACATATTGGCTTTAATAATATTCCAATAGTATTGTCTTTAATAAGAAAAAAGTATTAGTTTCTGTGCTCAGTGGGATATATAAGTGAACTAAAAGGTGTATTAAAGTTAAACGTATCTTATTTTTTTTTACACTTAAATATTCTTAAATATGTTTTAAACGCATTCAATTTTTTATTTTATGAAAATAAAGAAGTGAACGCATTTTTGAAAAACACATTTTTAAAAAAAATGTTTAATTTCTTTTGGAAAAAAATATATTTTTTTTCGTTAAAAAATAAGCTTAGTTACAAAAAAATTTGTCAGCTAGAGAAATAGATGATCTTAAAAAGGTTATCATTGATTGTAAGTTTGAATAATATGTATTTGAATACTTAGAAAGTATTAGGCAAGAACTCTCTGAAAACACAGAATTACAAAAAGTAGTTTTATTTGTATGGCAAGTAATGTACAGTGCATATGAAACACGATTAAAGAAATGAACACTACTCATTCCATTAGAAAAATATACTATTTTAAAATGGTTTACTGTTCTCAACTTGTAATATATTAACAACATATTTATACAATGGATATTTTAAGCAAACATCGAATATCAAAGTTTTTAATACAAAACATTGTAATAAGTAAGGAAACAAAATATAAATAAGACAAAAATAGTTAAGCTGTGAAACACCAAGCAAATGAGGTTACCCTGCTTTATTATGCCCGTAACTTTAATTTAGTTTTGCAGTTTATACTTGGTTGCGCACTCACACGCATACACACACGCACACACACACACACACACGCACACACATATATATATATATATATATATATATATATATATATATATATATATATATATATATATATATATATATATATATATATATATATATATATATATATATATATATATATATATATATATATATATATATATATATATATATATATATATATATATATATATATATATATATATATATATATATATATATATATATATATATATATATATATATATATATATATATATATATATATATATATATATATATATATATATATATATATATATATATATATATATATATATATATATATATATATATATATATATATATATATATATATATATATATATATATATATATATATATATATATATATATATATATATATATATATATATATATATATATATATATATATATATATATATATATATATATATATATATATATATATATATATATATATATATATATATATATATATATATATATATATATATATATATATATATNTTTTCTGTGCTCGAGGAAATCGGATAACACCTCGCTGCTCCTCAATCGTCGAATTTTGCAACGCGAACGCCATCCGTTCCTCATACGGACTGCCGCATCATTTGGACGCCGCTTTTGATAAGAGCCTCTGCTCTCTCCTGCTCATGCGGGCACCAGCGCATGCTCCGATCCCAGTCAGTGACTCCAATCGCATCCCGAGATGTCTCGCTACGTTCTCCCATACCGGAATATGCAAATATTTTATTGTTACGTTTTTACGTCGTTTCGTACCTTTTCATTTGATCACCCCTTGTATATATATATATATGGGTGATTCTCTGGAAACATGACAATTCGGACAAGTCTTCAAAATAATCTAAATTTTTTTTGTATACTCTTTAGTTACATTTATTAATATCTTACAGGCAGCAGTGTAGTTTATTGACATTTGCTCGTGGAAAAAAATAAAATAGAAATTCACCAAATCTTGAATGCCAGGAAAATGACATATTAGCTTAGAAGTTTAAAAAACAGTCATTTTAAGTTAATAGTAAGAAACTCAATTTAAGCCTTTATGTTAGATGGACTATAAACTGCTTAAATTAATTCTTTTTATCCACTGTAGAACGAATCAAAAATTTTTTTGTTGCTGATATGTACAGAATAAAATTGTGTATAATTATCAATCATTAAATAAATAAATAACTTTGATTACACTCAAACATAATGCAATCATACATAAACTTAGTATTAGGATAATATTTGCTTTCCCTCTCTACAATATACTGTTTAAAAAGTTTTCTGGTAACACGTCAATGTCCTGGCATTCATAAGCCAGGAAAATGACAGCCAGGATAATGACAATTTTGCCATTTTATAGCATTTAACTTTACTTTAACATTTTGGCCTAAGACGTTTGCATTCCGCATAAAGCAACAGGATTTCTTGAAATAATGCAGAGAAATATATGTAGTTTATGTAATTAATGATTTCAAGAAGACAGGAAAATGACAACATAAAAGCCAACTCACATTGAAAAAATTTTTGAAATAGATTAGGAACCAGAAATTTGGTTCTTTATTCATGCAACAAGACATGTTCAGATAGGATGGTATCTAATCAATCTATAAACATAAGATATTGATTGATGGCTCTATCCATTTTGATTATATATCACTAAATAAAAGTAGCCAGAAAAATGACAGATTTTCATTTGACAAACAAATTATTGACAGAAATTTTTTTTTTTAAACGAAGTTTCGGTAAATAATACCCTCTGCGTATATTCCAAAAATGCTTACAAAGGTTGAGATAAAAAGAAATTAGATATTGAAAAATTTATGCGACGCTTTGAAGCTAGTTATTATTGGAAATATTGTTTGCGACATACCAGAAACATGACATTTTGAAATTAAATTAAATTTTTTAACTATACAAAACAGTCAATGCTAGTGCAGTCATTTTAAAATGCGAACAGCAATGCTATATATTAATTTTTTAAAAAAAAAGCTCTTTTAGTAGTATAGTATTAGACCTTGGAGCAAGGGACTGTGAATTGTCATATTTCGTGAGAATTACCCATATATATATATCAAATGGATAATGATATAGGTAATATGAAATCATTATTTCGAGTTTTCTAAAACTTGTAAAAAAAAGCAGCCTTACTTTAGGGACTCCTTACACTTAGTTAATAATGAAAATCATGTAATGAACTTTTGAATGAAACAGGAGTTGTCAGAAAAGGACATTCAAGAAAGTAATAAAAAAATCAAACAAAATTAAGTCAGTTTCACTAAAATGAATCAAATAATTATCTATTAAAATGAATAAATTTACAATTAATTAAAATTTATCAATTAATAATCACTTAAAATAAACTGTAAAATTTAAGAACCCTCAAAGTACGATTTAAAATAAATTAATTCAAATTTTTAATATGAAAATTGTGCATAGTATCCTAAACTTAAGGAAATGACAAATAAATAAGTGAAATATAATAAATAAATGATTATCTCCTTATCCCATGACAGACCCAAAGATGAAAAAACAATTCGCCAAACAATGAAAGCTTCACAAAATGTAGAGGAGTTAAAGACGAAATTAAATAAAAAGTAATACCTTTGATTCTTTTCATTTATAAATATCACGTTTCTAAATGGAAGAAAAAGTTAAATATTGCAGATCATTACAATTTTGATTTTAAAAATTAATTTCATTATTTTTGAGAATTCTATGAACTATTATAGCCGAGAAAAGTGTCTTGAATAGTTCTTACAAACAAATGATGAGGAGACCTTGAAATGAGTTTCAACCGAATGAATGGAATGAAATTGTATTTAATCCTAAATCTTCTATCGCGTTCCCGAATTTCCTTTTGAAGAATTTGCTTGCTTTTTGGAGGGCATTTTCCCCGGTTGCATCACCGTGATGACGGAAGACGTCACTAACGGACTAACAACATTTTTATTTGGAAAGCGTATTTGTGACCTGTTTTTTTCTGATGAGGAGTCAAATAGTAAATCCTCACGTTTAACACGTGATGTTGTGTATGCCTTATTTCTTGAGTACCCATGTCTTAAATTTTGTGAATGTAATTCAGAGTCATAACCAGGAGCTTTGAAAACATTTGAGACGAGATCAAAATACGGGTGTATATTTCCTGATCCTCTAGCCCCCAATGCAGTTTTCCTTTCCGATGGAAAAGTGACTGAATCAGAAGGAAGTATAATGTCAACACCAGGTATTAATTCTGATTTGCTCAATTGCATCGAAGAAGAACTTTGATTAGTTTCAGAAGAAGTTTCATTCATAAGCGAAGAGTTGGTAGCATTTTTCTTTGAATTTATTTGAAACTGGGTCGAAAGAGTTGTTGAGTATATGATTGGCTTTTTAGGCTTTCCAATGTATTCGATATCAGCCAAAGGATCATCGTCTCTAGATCTCGCTCTCAGATTTGAAGATTGCGGTGATAAAGTTTCTCCGTTTGTCTCAAAAACATTTTCCTTCGTTGATGAAATGCTATCTGAATTGGTTTCAGTTTTTAGCTTTTCAGATGTTTTAGTTGGTATATCGGTCACCGTAGATTGAATTGATTCAGTTTCATTTTCGTGACCAATCATAATTTGCTGTCTTTCTAAAGTCTCATTGTTAATTTCCGACGATTCATTTAACGCTGAATAATTTTGAGTCTCTGTTGTTGTTTTATCAGATAGTTCTTGGCTAACTTCTTTTTCAGTATTAATATGTGTTTCTGTAGTATCGATTGTATTAACAAAGTAGCCGTTATGCAATGTTTCTTCATAATTAAAGCTTTGTTCGTGTACGTCATCTTCATTGGAAGGCTCTGGGACCAAAGAGCTCTGCGATTCCATCCATGTCTTATTTTGAATTTCGCTGTCCAATTCGACTATATCTTCAGTATAACTAATTCTAGTGTCATTTTCAAGCGTATCGTTTTTTTGCTTTTCAATTATTTCGGTTGAGCTTAACTCTTCGTTGAGATTATTATGTGTTTTAGGAAGATACTTACTTTTCCCTGTTATAGATAATCCTCCTAAATAACCAAAAGCCTCATAGACACTGATAGTTTTAGAATTTTCGGCAGTTTCAAGAGACGTCTGGGATTCATTGTGAGTTACTTTGGTAGGTAAAATGTCTGTATCTAAAGTGGTTGAAGAATTTTCATTTATTATATCGAAACTTACAGTTGGAGAATCAGTTATTATAAAGCTGTCTATGAGATGCTTTTCATTGATTTTCTCCTCTGCGGGCTTGGAAATTTCGAACAAATGGCTCGCCGCATTCTTTTCTAACCCTTCAGTAATTTTATTTTTTGTTGAAGTTTTAATATCATTAAGAGTCATGATTTCGGAGTTAGTTGTTTGAGAGAATGTTTTTGGAAAATCTGTTTCGATTGTGTTAGCTTCTGTTCCAATGTTTTCTTCTAAATTGCTTCCGGAATCAGTTTTCTGTGATTCAATTGACTCATTTTTCTCAATTCCTTCCAATGAATCGCTATGAATTCCTTCATTTATTTCCCCAAGAATTTTTTCTGTAATAAGACTGTACTCAGTGTTGGAAACCAAAATATTAGTTGATGTAGGTTGGATGCTTTCTTCTGTCTCACTAAATTCTGAATATGTTGATTTGATGTCTTCATCCACAGGATGCGCCGAGCTTTCTGTTGTGGTTCCTTTGTTCTCAAAGGATGTTGAATCGCTCACTAAATTTTCTACCCCTTCCAAAGCGATATCCTCTTTTTTATCCGTCTCATTTGAAAATGTGTTTTCTGATTTATTCTGATTTTGAAAAACTTCTATGTTACTTGAATTGCTATGACTCACTAAATTTTCTACCCCTTCCGAAGCTATATGCTCTATTTTATTTATATCCGTCTCATTTGAAAATATGTTTTCTGATTCGTTCTGATTTTGAAAAACTTCTATGTTACTTAAATCGCTATTCAATTCAGATAAGTTAATAGTCTGCAAATCAGAAGACGTTGTTTCTTCAAGTTGAATTGTATCCTCCTCAGTAAATTGTGAGTTTTCCGTCGTAATGACTGTTGCACTTGTGGTTGGGTCAACAACCGAAAATGTATTCGTTGAGTAAGTATCATTGGGCGATACTTGAGTAAAGAGTGATTCCTGCATTGTTGTTTCATTTATGTCAACCCGCTGAGTGTTAACTTCTGAATCCAATTCACCAAAATCCAAATCGTCGTCGGAGACCGGATTTGATGTATTGGTTTCACTCGAGGAAATGATTTCTTCTGCATCTAATACATTATAATCCTCCGAATGAGAATCTGTTTCTGATTTATTTATCTCAGAAGAAAACAGAATAGTATCGTTATTTGCAACAATAATTACCGTTGATGGTGCTGTAATTCCTCCTGTACTTTGATATGACGATTCGGAAACTTTACTACTTTGTTTGGTATTACTGACATTGCTTTCATAAAAACTTTGTAGATTGAATGTGTAATTTTCAAAAACGTTTCCTGAAACAGTACTATGATTTTCCGTACTGATTTCTTTCTCCTTAATTGTCTCAAATGTGGAAATATCATTATCTAAAACAGTGTCTTCTGTCAAAAGTGATGAAGGCATAAAAGTCATTTCACTATCTGGATGCGTAGTTTGATATTGAAGAAAGTGTTTGCCGATTATTTCTGTAGAGAACTGTAAAGGTTGTAAAGTTAATATTGTTGATGCGTCTTCACTTATTTGTTGTGTAAAGATGCTAACATTCTCTTTATTTTCCAATGTATCTAATTCTTCATGGTCAAAAATGCTATTGGCAAAATCGCTTTCATTTACCAGAGATCCAATTGAAGAAGCTGTTACGTCTTGAACGCCTGTTAGATTTTCCACTTGAGAGAAACTTTCCAAATCTAATTGTTCGGAAACAGCGACTAACTCGAGTTGCTCGGGTGGTGAACTTGAGGAAGTAGTTTCCGTTAATTCAGTTGATATGCTTGAGTTATCTGAATCTTCTGTTGGATAACTTTCTGCTTCTTGAGATTCTACTAATCCTTCAGTTATAATCTCAACTAATGTTGTCAATACCCCTTCGAAGCGAGATACATTTGTATTGTCATTGGTATCATTTACGAGCAAATCTTCATACTTTGAGCTAGTAGTACTGACTACAGACATTTTTGTACCTTCTATATTTGAGTCACCTGTTGTTTCATATTCCCCTCCCTCGCCTGAGTAATTTATATGAGCATCAGACGTGGAAGAGTTTTCATATGAATACCTCTCATAGTCATCAACAGTCAATGTTTTATTATTTTGAGAAAATTCCAGAGTATTGTTAAGAGATTCTAGGAGATTAATTTCAAATACACCGGATTTATCTTTCTCAATGCTTATGGAAGTTGTAAGCTCATCTCCCACAAAAGGTTTATCTGATGTTCCTCTTGAAAGCAAGAAAGTTGATGTGGAAGTGTCGGAATCGTCTGGTGTACTCTCCGTAGTGTTTGAAAAGAGAACAGGTTCAGATTGTGAAGTAATTTCAACTTCATTTGAACTTTCTGTTGGAAGACCCTTTATATCTGAAGTTAGGCCATCTTTATCGTATTGAACTGATTCTGTTACATCACTGTCCTGAATTTCTTCAGTTTTGATGGTTGAAGGTGCTGTAGAATTGAATTCTTCTCCAAATGAAAATTCTGTTTGCGTAAAAGTCGAAGTTGTTGTTTCATTGCCTATTTCGTTTTGGTTTTCAAACAGACTTGATGAAATATCGTTATTATTTGAAGCAAGTTCTGTGAACTGTGTTGTTTGATCTCCAAAATCAGCAACAGTATTTGATTTATTCTCGACTACGAAATTGAAGTCAATAATCGTTGAGTTATCTGTAACTGTTTCAGTTGATATTCCAATCCATGAAACTGAGGAAGTCAAATCTTTCGTATCAGTTGATGAAGTAGTGCTAACGAAACTCGCTTCCGACACAGTGTCGAGAGTCGATTCTTGGACAGTATCACTTGAATTATGTTCTTTATCATCCATAATGATAGTTTCAGAGTAAGATATTGTGGGTTGCTCAGAAGTTTGAAGTTCAAATTTTACTTCTTCTGCAGTAGAATAGTTTGATTCTCCACCTTCTGAAAATAAACTTACAGTACTAGTTGGTTTCACTGTTTCGGTTTCAAATTCAGTATTTGAAGATGTTTCAGCTGTTTTCTGAGTATCGGCATTAATAATATCTGTACTTGAGACTGAATAATCTTGTTCATCCTTCGTAATAAGTTCTATTTCTTTAAATACAACCTCAGTTGGTGCTGTGGTTGATTCAGTACCTGTAAGCATGGCCTGAGTGGATCCACTCTCGATGTCGTCTGTCGCTTTCGAAGAAGTTTCTACCACAGTTGACAACTTAGCAAAGTACTTCGTAGTTTCCGTAAATGGAACACTTTGAGGAGGTATTAAAGTAGTTAGAACAGAAGTATCGTAATCTAAAATACTGGATCCCTTTCCTTCAGATAGAGTGAAATCAACCGTAAATGTGACGCGTTCAGTTTCAAAATCTCCAGATGGCGTTGTCATACTCACGGTTGAAGGACTAATCTTTTCTATGGTTACAGTGGTACCATCACTGGTAAATTTTTCGAGGTGTAGGGTTGTCATATTTATGAAATCAAGTTCTTCCTGCTGTATAATTGGACGATGAGTAATTGAAATAGTAGTTGAAGACGCCGTACCTGTAAATACAGAAAACACAAAAATAAATCAAGGAAAGAAATATCGATGCCTTCATAAAATATAAAGAACTTATTTTTGTAATTCTTTCATTAAAATACTGCTACTGATGTAATGGAAATCATACCAAACATGAGTTGTTAAGTGAAATATTTTTCTTAATGAAATAGTTTGTTTTGTATAATAATTTTTGTTATGCCTACGATAGAAAATTGTGTTGCTCGTAAAAAAAGGTAAATTTTATTATTCAGCATAATCAATGTTAAATTGTATATGAATGACAAAAAAAAATTCTGTCATAAAATCAATCTATCGCATGAGTAAAAAAGTATCCACTGTAGATTCCTAATTTTTTAGCCGAGCATTTTTAAATTTTTTACATTTTTTGTCTTTGCACAGTATCAAAATGGTCGAAAACAAAATTACTCGAAAATCAGAAAATGGAATCCAGTGAAACTAATTTAATTTAGTATCTAAAGTCCTTTTCTAATTAACCTAACCTAATTAAAACACTTGTAAAATGCTGTGAAAGAACTTTAAAGTTCGTATCTCAAAACAATAAATTTTTTGTTCTAATTTTTAAATAAAGTCTTTCAAATTTTTAAAGTGAAAATTTAAAGTCTTAAACTATTCACAAATTGTGCTCTTCGCCTGCGGGACAAAAAAAAAATATACGTATCTTTGTTTGGGTGAGGGTTTAACTTTATATAAAAATTCACTAGAATAATATTCTAATGATATTTATAAAACCTTAAAATTTTGTTATTTAATGTATTACAGTCAGTTGTAATGTAAGTATAAGGCATTAATTTTACTTGATATGTCTTTAATAATTGCGATTTTCAAAAGAGAAGGACATAATCTAAAAAGTTTCTATCAATTCCATAACTAGTTTTCTTAAAACAATTAAAATGTTCTGTCTCTCTTAATAAATTAAAATTAATCTCTTTACTTCGTGGTAAAAATTTAAGTTTGAAAAAAATTTTATACATTTTTTTGGTATGTTTTTAAATTTCTATTTTCCTGAATTTACGCGAAAAACTTATTTTCTAAATACTTCAAGTTACTGCTTTTTATCACTGCAATCCTCAAGACATCTTTATTAGTACTCATCCATTCTAATGGTACAAAAAAAGAGGAAAAAAAGAAGAATTTACTTTCTTAAGTTATGTATTCGGAATTTTAATTACAAATATAATAATCCTTCGTATTATGAATCTAAGAATAAATATGATTTATGGGAATATAAATCATATAATATCCTCATCATTTCAGGACATTAGAAATTTATGCCCAACCGTCATGATCTTGGACATTCATTACGTCAAATTTGACTTTAAGAGAGCAAACTTTTTCTTTATGTTTAGTATTCCCTTCTAGTTTGTTAACTTTATTTTTTGACCCCTTTTTAAGAAAACACTGAGAATTTTAAATAATTCTTTCACACAATCTTTGTTAGTTATTTTTTTAATGGAATTTTCCTGCATAAAATCATTGAAGATCAGCTTGTGTTTTTTTTTTTTTTCAAAAATGATACACAAAACTTATTTTAAAATGCAATTTTTTTTAAAAAAAATTCCTTAAAAATTTTTATTTAACTTTTAGGCATAATATCTCTGATGACATAAATTTTAAAAAAAGTAATTTGCTTCACTCATCAAACTACAATAGAAATTTCCATATTCTAAAAATTAAAGATTTGTAATAGAATATTCTTTCATCAGATTAGTAAGAATCGCTATCTTTTTTTTTTTAGTTAATAAAAAAATTTTTGCCTAAAATTTTAATTTTTTTTAATTTAAATACTTTTTTTAGGATTTGTATACTTGTTTATAATTTTTAAGATAACATAAATTAAAAACAATTTAACTCATTTGCCTACCAACAAATTTTTTTCCTCCTGAAAAATAGAGATCTTATCCGTAAAAAGATAAAAAAGAAAGTTTCTTGCATCAAACTAGTAAAAGTCGATATCCGTTTTTTTCAAAATAAATTAAAGCGTAGAATTAATTTAGACTTACAATTTTTGACTTTTTTTCAATGTAAGTGTTTTATTCACTTTTTCGAGTCTTGTATACGATATTTCTGATGAAATACATTTAAAAAAAAACTAAAACAAAATTTCTTTATTCATCTAACTGCAGTAGAAGTTTTTATCTTCTAAAAAAAGAGTCGTTAAATTTCAAAAAAGTTAAAGTTTGTAACGGACTTTTCTTGCATCATATTAGTAGGAATCGCTATCTGTTTTTTTTTTCTCTTATTAAATAGATTTGCAGAATTAATTGTTGCTAAAAATTTTCTTCTTTTTCACATAATTGTTTTCATTTCATTTATTCATTTTTTTTCTTAGGTTTTATATACTTGTTTATAACAATTTTGATAAAATAAACTTTACAAAAAGTAATATAAGTAGTGATACATTTATTGTGAATAATTTTTTTATTCATCCAATTATAATAATAAATTTTAATAAAAAAGTATAGATACTTTTGGGAAGAAAATATTAAAAATGTTTATTTTTAATTCGTAATGATTTTTTACACATTTTGGGTAACTTTTCTTGCTTTGCATAAAAAAAAAGCGAAAAAAAATTTGATTATTGTCTTATATGACTTATATTCGCCAAATGTTGATGTTAATGGATTTTTAACCTCGGGTATGTTAGTCATGCGAAATGAATCTGTGCTTAAAACGAATTGTTGGTTAGTTAAATCCAATTGTTGCGTGACAGCCTATTCCTAAAGAAAACGGTTGAAAGCAAACTTAAAAATATTTTCTACGAAAAGTTAATTCTAAGCGTTCATTTTTGCAACTTTTCAGTTCAATCTGAAGCTCATATTTTATTCAAAACTAAAATAAAATGAATCATTTATAATTTTTAGTCTCACTCAAAATAAATGGTTTTCTTTGAGAGTTCAATTAAACTAAATATTTTTAACGCGTAAAATTTAAGATCAAAAAATAAGAATTGTTTCTTTTTGGGTTTCTTAAAAATAAAAGTTTAAGAGAAAAAAATTTACAAAGATTTCTCGAGCGAAGCAATAAAATTTATTGGGTGGTAAAATCGTTATTCAGCAACAAGCAATTGACATAGAAAATTTATCTGGTTAACACCTTTAGTGTTACAATAACAGTTTGTGAGGTAAATAATACGAATGTTTGCATGCAAAAGGTTTGGAGGTCGGCACCCCGGAGGTCGGCAGCCCTCACTCAGAAGACGCGTGTGCAGTCCCGCCCACCTAATCCCCAATCCTACAACCCTACGAAGCCCGTTTGTCAGAAGTCTCTTCTGCAAGGGAAAGGTTAATGCATTCACAATAAAACAATAAAATTAAAAATTCAAGAACAGTTAAATTACAACATAACTATTACCGATTTTAAATACATATTAACAATTACTCATCACAAGTTTATAAGAGTTATAAATTACGTCAAGTCCGCGAGATATTATTTAGCAGCTGGCATTATCTTTAATCATTACTAAACTTTAATTACATTAATTATTTAATTGACATCACATCACATTATTACTCAAGTTACTTTTAAATTATAACTTGAATTAGTTAATTGGTTACTATTAAGTTTAGCTTATCTACCAATTATTTTAACTATCTTAGTATTACACTAACTAAACTATTATCATCAGTATCATTTGGAGTAGTACGATTAAGGACTAGCCGCATTACTTTACAATTTACATCAAACACGTTACAATAGCTAGTCACAACACAATATTTTTTTTAATTTTTTATATTTATACATTTAACATCCATAGCCATCACGGACAGCTGAAGAACTGCCTGGCGCACTGCCTGCCCCCCAGGGACTAGGAGCAGGACCAGTGGTATGGTGATCAACCACGTTGGCTGCCATTGTGAGCCAGTCCGTGGTTGATTGTGGGGTGTGCATGTTTTGTTTGTTGTGTTGTGTGTATTGTGTATTCAGCATCATTCGGAAGAAAAATTGAGACAGTCAATTGGTGTAATTATTTACTCTTTAGTTATAAGATTATAATTGTCTTTAGTTTATTATTGGAAGACTACTGATTGCTTATTATAGTTAATTAATTACTATTAATTTACAGTTATTGCTTGCTGAGATTTCAACATATTTTTTGCTTATTTCTTTACTCTCAAATTTTCTGGTTAAATAATATATTATCATTAGATTAAACAACTATAACCCTGGGTGATTTAATCGAGAGAAGAAAAAAAAGAAATTCTGGCTAAGAAACGTGGTCTCCGGAAAAGCAACGCGGCGCCTTGCTTTCGTCCTCCCGCAGTACCGACGACGGGATCCATAGAAATGGTCCTATCACCTCCATTGATTGTAACAATGTTTCACCCCACTCTTACTTGGAGATCACGACACGTTTTGTATGCCAGCTTTTTTTGCTGTGGCACTAAAAATATATAAAAAAAAATGAAAATTTAGGTTGTTTTGAGGTTGAAGCGTTGATGGCACCTCGGAGGGGGTCATGCTAAAGGTTTATTTGTAGTTTAGTTTAGTAAGAATAAAATTTATCTCTGAATTGAAATTTATTTCACTCGTTTGAAGTGAAGCCTATTGAGATCCGCTAAATAAAAAGAAAAATACTGTGAAGCGAGATATCTGAATGAATGAAAGAAAGCTATTTCGATAATTCATTAGAGAATTTACTTACTAAGAGGCGGACAGTGGTCATATTTGGGACAACATTCTCCTGCCATATATTCTGGTACACAATCAGAGCGGAAGTTGCAGTCCGCAAATGTGCATGATATGGAACTCCCGTGGCATGTGCATGTATAACATGCATTCTGTAGATCTCTGATCACTTCACCATCTTCGTACACTCGATGATTGTGGACGCATCCTGAAAAATAAGTGTTTTCATTTAATTTTCTCTTTTTAAAAAAAAATTACTTTGATGAGAGCATATTAAAAATGTCCTACAAATATAAAAAAAATTTTCACGTTATGTTTTTAAGTTAGTAAACACAAACGAAAAGAAGTCAAAAAATTTAATAGAATTCTAGATCAACAAATTTAATTCTTAAGTTTATATTTATTAATGTAATTTAAATTAATTTTTATTTATAAATATGACTCATAAACTACCCAAAAATAAAGAGGAAATATTTTTCAGTTTTCGGCACGTTTTAAAATTAAGTAATAGATACTTAGATTATAATTTAAGAAATTTAGGTGTGACCAGTTTTCTCATTCGTAACCACAAAGATTTCAAAGGTTTGAATCACCGGCTATAAATTAATAACGGCCCTTTTAAGCATCATATGCCAAAAAATGTATATATAGCAATAAGATTGTAATTTGTATCAATTAATTTGGTTACTATTTCTAATAACTGCACGAAATTTCGTAAATCTAGCTAAAACTTTATGAAGATACGGACATACTTATTAAAAACTATTTTTTAAATTTTTTTTTGCCTCAGAAGTATTTCTATAACTGCTGAAATATTAAATAAAATAAAGCAAAATATTTGGAATACTTTTTATTTAATAAAAATAATACAATTTTAAATTTGAAAAAAAAAAGATGTTTTAAAATTGCGAAAAGTATGATCATTTAAAGTAATCCTACTGTACTGCGCATTCGCGGAAAATATATTTAAATTTTCGTTTCTTAATTTTGTTGTGAATCGTATTTGGTAACTTAAAACAAAAGTCCGATTTTAATATTTCGAAAATTTAAAAAGTTTTTACCAATATTGTAATAATTTTTTTGTAAATTCTAAGAGGACATGGTAAGGTGTTTTTCACAAATTTATTTTGTACTATTAAACACGATATATTGAAATTGGCATCGGCATGATAGAGAACAATTAAAATATGTTTTATTTCACGTGTTCATTACATTTATTTACCGAACGATCATCGTAGGATGTTATCGCTTGTTATTAAATTTTGTTTCAGGATATGAAATGAAATTACTGGAAAACCAAATATCATTTAGAATTTTCTTTAAAAAGTACAAAAGCTATTTCAAAAATTGCTGCAAACTTTATAAATTTTCAAGATATTCAAATCGGACTTCTCTCAAAATAAACAAAATACGCTTTATAACAAAATATGATTATTTTTTTTTAAATATCAACTCGAGCATGCGCAGTTTGAAAGGATTACGTTAAATCTTTACATCTTGCGCAAATTTTAACGTATAACGTATTTTAACGTATAACGTAATTTAACGTTAACATATAATAACTAAAATACTATTTAAATACTATCAGTTATAGTAAAAACCCCTAAGGCAAAAAAAAAATAGTTTTTAATAGATATGTAAATATTTCCATGAATATTTTTTTTAATAAATATGTAAATATTTCCATGAATACATTTTTAATAAATATGTAAATCTTTCCATGAATATTTAATCTAGGTTTACGAAATTTTTTACAGTTATTGCATAAAATAAAAGTAATTTATATAGCTTATTGCTATATTTTTTGGTAAAAAAAACACTCTTTTTCATTCGTGATTTATTTGCGGGTCCTCAAATCCTTGAAAACTCTATTGAGATGCATGAGAAATCGCATAATCTAATCGTGTCTAAATTTATAAAATAATTCTCTAATCATTTCTTGAAAAAACTGCCAAAAAATGAAAGTGTCTCGTCCATCATTAAGTATATTTAATATTCAAATTATTCTTTAATAATATTCCAACAATATTCCTAAACGATACTCTCGAGTGGAAAAAATATATATTTTGGGGTTATTTCAAAAACTTGGCTAAAAAAACATTATTGAAACATTTTTTTACAAAATTACCATCTTTGAGTGCCATACTTACGAATATTTTTCACCTGCTTAATTTCAGTTCAATAACTTTTGTATCGAAACAATATTTGAGTGATATTGCTTCATATTTGTCAGTAACTGCTAAAGATTAAATAGTATACTGTTAAATAATTAGAACATGTAAACAAGTCCAGTTTTAACAATTTGATTTGAGACGATATTTTAAGTTAAAAAATCAGCCATTAAAATATACTTTCTCTATAGAAACATATTTTTTTTCTTGATGGATTTAAATTCTTAACCTTTTAAACTATTGAGATAGCCGCAATCTGTATAATATGTTTCCAACAAGAGAGCGTTCCCCCCCCCCCTCATGATAATTTTCCTTTTTTTCTCTGGAAACGAATCAAATAATGTTTTCACACAATTACAAAACTTTTTATATCTCAATTTCAATGTGATAAATATTTATTATAATTATTATTCATTATGGTTACTACTTTGTTTACTAACTGTATACTAATCGCTGTTTACTAATAATAAACTTCACAAATTTTTACACTATTTCAATCTTTGTTTATGACCTTAAATAGCGATAATCTGTTAAATAGTTCTTGAGGAATAAAGCTTCGAGATACGGAAAGAGTGTTTACATGAAGGAGACCTAACTTTCGACCACTTTAAACTATCGGACCAAATTTTGCTGATTGCCCTTTTGAAGAACAAGAATTCATATGTGACTAAAAAAATTTATGTTTATTTGGAGAAAATACGTCTTTGCATCTGACTTCGTAACTTAAAATAGCATCTGCTCCACTGATAAATTAAAGTAAGAACCATTAAGATTGAGTACGTGAATGTCGGAACAATAGAGCATAAATTATTCAGGTTGTTCGATTTTCTCTCCTTTTACTTTTATTTTTTATTTTTACTTATTGGATGTACATTGATAAAAAAAAAGTATGGTCAAATCTACTAGAATATGTTAAAATTTACCGTATTTCTGGCTCTATGGGAGAGCACAGAAAAGCACGATAACTTTTATCAGAACGCTTTGGTGATAGCTTGTGGTAAAAATCAACAATAAAATATAGTTTTATTGCCATGCTGTTTCGTAGTAAATGAGATAAAATTTGATGACTTTTTCATGATGTCTTAGAACACGACGTAAAAAACATTTATCCGGTTAACTTTACTTTTCAATTTTGTAGTTTTACTAAATGTGTCGTAATACGAACTATAAATTTGAAAACCAGAATTTCCAGTAAATCGTTACCATACGAACGAAAAAATTACCAAATAAATAATTTAAATGCAGTATATTTTGTTTTAATTACCAGAAATATGTTGTTTTTTTTTTACTAGAAATGTCATAACTATAGAAGGATGGTAATTTTACCAGAAATTTCCTCCGTGTACAATGCGTCAGAAAAAAGGGAACACAGTAAGGAAATTTTACAGCGGCCTAGGCCTATAGGCCCATTCGCCGAATGCAGTGGAACAACAATTTTTAATTTGACAGCAATTATATAGAAATAAAATGTTAAAAATTTTACAGTAACAGCGATGGCAACAAGCCTCGAAAACATTGAAACACATCAGAAAGAAGGTCAACGGACCCTTATAATTTAACATATCGTTCAACAATTTAACATAAAAACAAATTAAAACAATATTGATCGTTCTTGGTGTTGTACCGTTCAGGCCAACAGACCCTTATATAAACGAAATGTTTGTAACATCACGAACTCATTTTTACTTACTAGATACTACAGTTGAATAAAGGTATCAATAGGATCGAATTGAGAGCTAGAGCTAGTTGCTGGGGGGTAAAAGGAAAAAGTTAAGAATTACACACAAGATAAAAGTAATTTTGATCTAATGAGCGGAATATCACGAACTATGACTGTACCTTAATGTTTCGAGAGCCTAACCTATAATATGCAATGGTGCAACCTAATTACTTATTGAATATATCCTAATTATTAGTGCAGACGATATTTAAATGTACGAAATGAAGGACAAATAAACATACTTTATTCGATTCTTAACCCTGAAAATATGGGCGATAGCAGCAATCTAGAAAATGTGTAACAATGCAGGTGAATGTTAATTTTACTTATTACGTTGCAGAGTTCGCTAGATCGAAGGGAACACCTAACCTGCAACCTGTCATCGAGCACATCCTGATATTCCTTCTGCTCTCGGAAATTAGCTGTAACCGACTGCAAGATACAGATGTCATTTTTGTTATCACGCACTTTTTCCCAGCATATCTGTGAAATCACAAATTATTACTACTACTACTCAGTATACACTTTATTTTGTATTTTGATTTATTTTAAGTTAGTCACTCAGTTTTGTGACTGCATCGTTTTCCGGAAAATAAAACTTTCATTTTTACTTCTGATTGTTATGATGTGTTCTTTGGTTTCCGCAAATATGAGAACGTTATATCTAGTTCCTACAACGTATTTTGCCATGTCTCGAGAACTTTTTAAGCAAATTGTACACGACTTATAAAATTCGTTTATCGAAAGATTCCATGCAAAAAATTATTTTAAAATTTTTATTTATTTTTTTATTTAGTAATATGCGATATTTTGAGTTGTAAAGTTTACTAATTTTTACATTATTAAAAGTACGTAATTTAAATGGTAAAATACGAAATTTGAACGAAACCGATCTAATAGGTCTTGACTTTTAAAAACATAATTACTAAGAACCTTTTCAACCGATTTCGTTCAAACGAAATTTGAACGAAACCGATCTAATAGGTCTTGACTTTTAAAAACATAATTACTAAGAACCTTTTCAACCGATTTCGTTCAAATTTTGTATTCTATCATTTAAAGTTGCATTCTTTGAAATAATGAAAATATTTTTATACGCCACAATTCAAGCCGCTATTTTTAAATAAAGTGATGAAAAATAATAAATAACTATTAAAATGTATTTTTTTGCATGAAATTATCTTTGGATAAACTTTTCGATTCACTTTCCTGAGATCAGGCGGAATATCCAAAAATTAAAATTGACGTTAAAAGATTTAAACATTTGACCGCTGTCCAGCCTAGACTGATAGGACTCTATATTCCAAACTGCGGCTATCTCCCTTAATTAGATTTTCAAAAATCCAAATCAGTGGCAAAAAAGTATGATTATTCAGAGAAAATCTGTTTCGTGTCTGATTTCGTTACTTGAAATACCGTGTTCTCTAATTCATTAGCCTATTTAAGTTTAAGCCTTCGTACCATGAACATTGATTCTTAGTACATGAAATTCCGTTCATTACAACAAAAGTTATTTAGGGTGTCCCCCCCCCACTCTATTTCAATCGTTATTGGTTTCGATGTCAAATGAATTAACTTCTTCAAAAATACACATAAAGGGCAGATGTTATTTGTTCTTAATAAATGCGGAAATGTTACTAAAATTGTAAAAATGCATTCTTACCACAGATGTATTCTGGACAACACTCCCCCTCCCTTCTCAGAGCTTTGCATCCTGGTTTTGTGTCACAGTCCCTGAGAACACATGAGAAACCGGGGGGCCGACAGGTACACCGCTCACACTGATCGTCTGTCGGAACTGGATCTCCATTTCTGTACACCTCTCCGTCCACTATGCACACTACAATAAATAACTTTCTTTCAACGCTTACAAACAGTAACTACTAGCAGGAGGTTCGCTTCGAAATAATTGGTGATTCTTGACATAAAGCAGTTTTTTCTATTAAAGTTGAAATTATTCACTTAAAATATTTCTCCCCACTTTCCACCCCCAAGCATTTCCCTTATGATTGTATTAAGAATTGCTAGTAAACATTAAACAATTTCGCTTAGTAATCATTTTTTTAAAAAAATAATAACATCTAAAATGAAAGGTTAATTGTTATAATAAATATGGTGAGCTCATTTAATTTTAAATCAACAATTTTGCAATTAATCTTGAATTTTTCCAAAACTTTTATTTAATTCCATCGAATACTTATGAAGTTAAAGCAAAAAAGTAATTTTATTTCATAAAAAATGTCAATATTTCCACAAAAATTACTCTAGGCTTACAAACCTTTATGCAGTTATTGGAAATAACAACTAAAGTAATCGATACAAGTTAGAAGTTTTTTGCTTGATTTTCTGGTATAGGGTGCTCAAAAATATTTGTTTTCCTTTGTAATTTATTGTAGGTCTTCCAAATCTCTGAAAGCTTTAAATTTTATTTTGACGTTTCCTTAAGCATATATTTCATGTATAAAAAATGGCATAAACTGAACGCTTCTAAAGTTACAAAATAATCCTTCAAGTATTTCTTGTGAAATTTTAAAAAATGTCAAAAATCGAAAGTAACCTCCACGATTTTAGGGTGGTGTATATATATATATAGATATATATATAATTAAAAGCTATAATTGCCTAATAAAGGGAAAATAATCCCATCTCATTAAGAAACTACTACATAAATTTAAGCAAAATTGTTTGGGAGTATTTTGGATACGATAAGAGGATTTTGACAAAATGCTATTTAAAGTTTACGAAAGCATATTTTACTTTAAAGCACTCCACAATCATCTTTCTCATTTCCAGGAAAGAAGTTTTTTCAGGGAGAAATTTTTTTTTTTAAATTTCTATCTGTCGTTTTCTTTTAAATGGAATTATAACAAATAGAAAATATAACAGATAGTTTGACTTTTTATTTAAACTTATATTAAAGTTCTTACTTGTTTCATTTGCAATATAAAAAGCAGCTCTTTTCTGAATAACACCTATAAAAAAGTAAAAATAAAATTTCATTTCTTAAAAAATTCAAAAAAAGATGCATATAATATATTATATCGATGAATTTTTTAACAAAATTACTCATTACTTAAAAAAAACACGAAGAAGGTATACAACAATATCATTCTAATGATGAAATCCATCTCATTAAGGAGAGATCAATTCATTATTTTTGATATCGAAATAGGATTTCTGCATAATGATTTGTGAAAGTTAATGATGACGTGATTCCACATAGTTTTCAACTTTCATAAATTGCATTGAAAAATGTCAATATTTTTGAAACATGAAAATATGAACAAAAGCATGAATGGAATGCATTAAAAAGAGTTTAATTTTACATGTTATTAATATACATTAATAACATATAAAATGAAATTCTTTTTATACTTTTGCTTCATTCCACAAAATTATTTTCATTTTGTTATTGCTCTTTAATTCGATGTGTGAAAATTTATGTGAAATTTTCTTAAACAATTCTATCATTCAATCTCAATAGAAAATCGCAAAATTAAAATTTTTTTTTGTCTAAAGCACCTAAACCGAGTCAATGGAATTTATGGAATGGTTAAGTTCCATATGGTTTGTTAAGTTATTTCATGATCACTTACTTGCTGTAATGCAATAGTTTTATGTCTTTTGCACGTTACTGTAAGACAGTTAATGTTTACCGTGTACAGATTAGAGATAAATAGAATTTTTCAATATATTTTAATTCTTTAAAATATGTTACATATTTATAACTGCCTCCAAAGGGAACTTTCCTTTTTTTTCAGAAATGCATAATGAGTATTTCACTTTTGATTATATTTTACTTCTAAATAGATGTGAAAATGGAGTTTGCCAAGTGGAGCATTTAAATTGAATAAATGTTTAGAATTTAAAATATATTAAATAGGTAAAGCTAAATATTAAAATTTATTACATACAATTTTATATAACTTATCATATTTGTTGAACTCTCTGAAATTCATTGCAAAGATATTACTCTTAATGATTATATTATATTTTTCTATCACTTAGTTTGTATAGCATATAAATACCTAACTATAAACATTTGAAATTGACATTTTTCAAACATGATTATTTAAAATTTTTAAATATGCTACATGTTTATTACTGCTTTTAAATGGAAAAATGTCACATTTATTTATTAAAATAAATGTAATAAATAAAGGTGCAAACAAAATCTAAAATTAAAATTAACATCGTTGTTGTTGTTGTATATTTAACGTGATGGGTGATAAGAAATGATAATTTATATTGAAATATAATTTTTATTGTTCTCTTTCATTTGTTTTAATTTTTTTTATTAAGGTGTTCCAATTTATTATTAGAAAACTTATTTAAAAATCCTAGACGTTGTGTTTCAAACAGTTAACTTGTTATAAAAATAAATATTTTTAAGCAAAAATATTAATGTTATGTTCACTACACAATGTAATGCTTATTGACAATTTATAAAAGTTTATTAATAGGGAGTGTCAATGACTATTATTCTTCGTTTGAGCTACATTAAGAAAGATCTTAAAGTACAAATATAGACTGTCACTAAGACTGTACTGTAAATTTTCAGTTTTTTGAAACATACTTACAATAGAAATACATAAAGATAGCTTTAAAAGTTTATTGTCAGAACAGATAGGAAAATCATTAGCATTCCTTGCAAAATTATCAATTACATTTTATCAGTTTTATTTGTCTAATTTTATTTAAGAAAGTTTTGCTGTGAAAGTGCAGCAAAAAGTGAATTGTTGCTCGGAAAATTAATATGGCTTAATAAACTAACATGATGCATTATATAATATTTTTTGTGTGTTTATAACGTGAATTAATTTATTTCTTTATGTTTACAAACTATTTGCAGTCCATCTCGTTTAAAACGAGGATTGTGAGGACAGACACAAATCGATCGTTAAATCAGGTTACTCAGTCGATTGAAACCATGCCTTAAAATGATCTACAAAAGCAAGAAATGTTTACTTATCGTGTATTTATGTTATATTGTATTTATGTTATATTATGTATTTATGTTATATTATGTATTCATGTTATATTATGATTTATGTATTTATGTTATACTCGATTTGAACAAAAAAAAATAGTTCATTATGCACATTTCAATATTTAATTATTTTATATTCGCTTATTCAATGAAGAAAATTACGTGGGTAGCACGTGTTGTCCACGTCTCCCAATTTATACTTTGTCTGATACAATTAGTTTACACTCTCCCGATATATATATTCATATATCTTTTTCAATAGTTCATAAAATACTTTTTATTGATCCACTCAAGTTATAATTTATTTTTTTAAATTTTTGCAGTGGATGATACTTGAAGTTAATATAGTTTTTTCAAATATTAATTTATTAATTAAATTTAATTAATTAACTTCAGATTAGATTTAGAATTAATTTTCGAGAAACAATTTTAATTATTTAATAAAAAGTAACTAAAATAAAAATTTTCTTTGTTGACTTAAGTCGGAATTAACTTTAATTTTTTTTTATTTTTCATATTACTTGTTTTTTTATATTAAACCAACCTTTTTTTTTAGAAATCCCGTTCAATCAGTGCTCCCAATAAACGAATTCAATGTTATTTCATTTTTGTAAAACTTATTTCTTGGTGTAAGACGCAAATTAAATGCTAAGCCTGAATTTATTAAGAAATTGCTTATTTCATAAATTCATTATTATTTTAAATACTCTCTAAAAATTTATTGTCTTTAGTTTCAACTTCACCAAATCATTACGGAACAACCGAACCTTAGACAAAGCTGTATCATCCAACGAAATATTTTTACCTCGGGGTACATAAATGGCACGATCTATACTCAATGTTTGTAAACACGAATTAGAGAAGTAATAATATTCGGCAATCTAAGCAAACTCTTTTAATGCACATTTTTTCTGCTGCTCCTCCTTAGAAAAAAGCACATTTTGCAACTCTTCCATACAATGAAGATTAGATGCAGGTATTTTATTCATATGTGTGGTTAGTAATTATAGGATGGAAATATTTTGTTCGGTGCTTATTTTTTGTCAGTTCATTTCACGGTCAATGACCCTCACTTTAATGCATTTTTATATCTGTAGAAACACGAATAGAAATAATAAAGGGAGTGTGAAGGGTGAAAAGAATTTGTTACGGCTTGAGCAAAAAATCGTGAGATTTGAATTTTGTTGAAAAGTCTTGGTATACCGTTACCTTCACTTTTTTAATGACACTCAAATCACTGTCTTTTCACACTTCCCAAAAGATTCCTCCAGTGTCTTTACTTTCATAAAACAATAATGATTTAATAATATCGTATTTAAAAGTAATTTTTTTAAATTCTCAATTTAATTAGTATAAAAAATCATTTTCTTGATTTCAGTTTGTGTTGATTAAATACGTGCGTCCTGTATTTCGTGTAAATGAACGAAAGGTTAACATTAAAATGAACATTTTTAAAAGAATACAGGAAATTAAATATTTTTTGTTGCTCAAAATTATGTTGGGGGTTTCAATATTTTTGCTGATTTAAAAGGCTTCGTGAAAATGCATTGAACTTTAAATGCAACATTTTTTGAGCAACTCTATCTTATAACAAGCATTACTCACACAAAATGCAGCGCTAGTTTTTCTTATCATATGCTTGTTGTAAGCAATGTACTGTTTTGTTATAATTATTTGCTTTAGGAGAACATCTATAAGCAAAATTTAACCAATCTGTTTAATAATATGTGAACCTCAAATGTATTCTACTATTATTTTGATGGACTATTCACTACTGAAAATTATTTAAACTTTTTTGAAAGGATTGTTTTAAATGTTACATTTTATTTCATTAAAACTCACACACAATTATAAAAAACATTTTAACTTAATAATTATTTAATAACAACATTTTTTTTGACACTATAAACTTATGTGAAAAAGGGAATGTAATAAAGCATCATCCCTAGAAAAAATACAAAATGGATATTATTTGTTTTTCTACGTTATAAAAAAGCATATTTTCATTCTCTCAAAATTTAGAGTTTGAAATCTGTGCAAATGTTTCATGGCCATTTTTTTTTCAATGGGAAGTTCAAATTCTAAAGTATGTATTGTTAATAAATTCTATTAACCTTGCATTTGTCTAAGTTGTAAAAAGTTGATTAACTAAAGGCTGTTTCGCATTAGAGCGTTTTCTTTATTATAACGTAAAAGAGATGCGCTTAATTGCTTCCCTCAAAACGCATCCGTAGCAAGCTATCGGGTCATAAATGTGTACCAATGCTTTATTAGCCTTCTTTGAAAATTACAACGAAATATTGTTCCATTATTTCACACTTCTTCCCCGCGGGATGTCAGTATGCTAAAGCATGCAGGTTACTCGGGTACCACGAAAACAGAATGAAGAGAGACAAAGTAATATGGCGCCATTCTAACCTGGGCCATTGACTCATAGTTACGCAAACTCTGCAGCTTTAATTGAATCGTGTTTACCGACTTATTGCTTCAGGCTAACTTCCCTCTGGTGCACGAGACACGAAATTCCTCCACATGTCATGAATTTTGGTGTTTCAATTTAAATCCTTTACACGTCGTCAGTTGCTTAAAATTTTACTATCAAAAGAAACTGAAAGTGATAAACTCAACGAAGAATTCTTTCATCTATTTGAAATCTACGCACATAATTTCAGTTGCCACGCATTTTAATACCTTTTTTTAATATACATTAACTGTATTCTGTATTTATTATATATTCCACTCTATTTTAATAAAGTATTAACAAATTTAATTTTTTTTAAAACCAAGTAGTTAGAATAAAAATACTTTAAAATGGATTCCAATGTAATCATTGTAGAAAAAACGCCTATAAATATTTTTTTTTGTATTTATCTGAAATTGTGCTGAATTTTCACGTATACAACACTATTCTATTCCTCCCAACATAGTTATAAATTGTAAATTGCTTTCGTTTGTGAAAATAAAAGTGCCTTTCGGAACAGA